AAAAAAAAAAAAAAAAAAAAAAATTGCGTAAAAAATGATTTATTAAATTTTTCATTATCAAAATCCATTGATACTGTTAACCGAAACAATACAAATCTGATAGGTAGAAAATAATATTAAATAATAAACATTTGCACGATAATGATAATATTTTACAGCCAATATGCAAGTTTGTTATCATAAATAATAAATATAATCGTTTAGAGAGTACACATGATTGAAAAATGATTAAAATGATTGATTAGATTGATTATATTATAAAGGAATACATTGTTCTATTTTTGTCTTTTTGATTTTTTGTATTTTTTTCCCAGGAAAAAGTTTTTCATTTTTTTTACGCCAAAAAAATTTTTATTATGTTATATTTATTATAAGGTTTTTTCCTCAAAATGGCTCAAATTAGGTTTCTTTAATTTCTTTAAATAAACAATTAGGATTCTTTTAAATTTCTTTAAATAAACAATTAGGATTCTTTTAAATTTCTTTAAAAATAAACAATTAGGTAGGATTCTTTTAAATTTCTTTTAATAAAATAATTATTAAAATAATTAGTTTTTTTTTTATTAAAATATATACTGTGTAATATATATGTATTTTTTATTTATTTTTTTTTACGAAAATATACATATATATATATATATATAATTATATATATATAAATTTTTTTATCTATTAATAAACGATCTTTGGGAATTTTTTTTTTAAAGTTATTTTAATATTATCCGATTATATATCCGATTATATAGTATATTATAGTGATTATATAGTGATTACATTATATTCATTTTATTATATTTTTAAATGATATCGATTATAGTTTTCATGCATGTGAAAAAAAAATATATATATAATTGTGTGCTTTTTTTCATTATTATTATTGGTTTATTTGATTTTATGGTTTTAAAAAGAGAAATACAAAAATGAAAAGCCACTTTATCTTTATTCAAAAAGTAAAAAATCATTTAAACTGTTTGAGCGGTTTATTTTCTTTGTTTTTATAAACAGTATATATATATATAATGGTATTTAACAGTATATTGGTTATATTGACAGAATGACAGTATATTATATAATATGTATAAATATAATATATTGTCGATATTAATAATTTATATATTATTTGTACAGGAATCAATCAATTTTCCCCCCTTGCATATTTTAAGGATCCTGTGATCCAATATCGTGACTTGCGTGACTTGTCCGTTCATCCCGAAAATCTGAATGCATGAATGATATATCTGTGGTGCAACTTATTTAAATATTCAAATTGTATTTTATTCGTATTTCAATTATTCTTTTTAAAACCTCTTTGTAAAACTTTTTTTTTTTTTTTTTTTTTTTCATAACCAACAGAAACACGTACCATCTCTTTGCTTACCCCTGCAGATATTTGTTCTTCATCATTTAATTGTTGATGCGTTGTTGAAGCAGGATGTATTACAAGAGTTTTCGCATCACCAACGTTAGCCAGATGACTAATAATTAATTATAATTTCTATTAAATTTTTTTTTTTTTACTTAATAAGAATTTTTCAATAAATTAATTTTTTTTACCTGGCAAGTTGTAATGCATCAATAAATGCACTTCCAGCATTTTCACCTCCTTTAACTCCAAAAGTTAAAACACATCCAAAACCATTTTGCATATATTTTTTAGCATTTTGATGATAAGGATGTGATTCAAGTCCAGGATATGAAACCCATAAAACATCATCCCTTAATTCTAACCATCTTGCTAATTCTAAAGAATTTTCTGCTTGTCTATGAACTCTTAATGATAAAGTTTCAAGACCTTGAATTAATAAAAATCCTCCAAAAGGATTTTGACATGCTCCTACATTACGCATAATTTCTAATCTTGCTTTAGTAATAAATGAATTATATCCAAAATGATCCCAATAAACTAAGCCATGATAATCTGGACTTGGTTCGGTAAATCCCGGAAATCTTCCATTATTCCATGGAAATTTACCTGCATCGATAATTACACCACCGATTGTTGTACCATGTCCACCGATCCATTTTGTTGCGCCTAACCATTATATAATAACAATTAATTAATAATATTCTTTCTTTGAAAAAATTTGAATTGAATTGAAACTTTTATTAGTTTCAAAATTTCAATCAAAGTTTCAATCATACTTACTATGAACTACTATATCCTGTCTCTTATACACATCTAGATGTGTATAAGAGACAGGTTGTACCATGTCCACCGATCCATTTTGTTGCGCCTAACCATTATATAATAACAATTAATTAATAATATTCTTTCTTTGAAAAAATTTGAATTGAATTGAAACTTTTATTAGTTTCAAAATTTCAATCAAAGTTTCAATCATACTTACTATGAACTACTATATCTGCACCATACTTAATAGGTTTAATAAGATAACCAGCTATATAAATCAAACAATGCAATATGCAAGTTATATAAATGAATGTGTATGTATGATCAACAACCAATTATTTGAAAAAAGAAAAAAAACCCTAACCTGCACCAAATGTATTATCGACAATAACTGGTATTCCAGCATCATGAGCAACCTTACAAATTGCTTCAAAATCAGGAATATTAAATTTCGGGTTACCCATAGATTCAAGATAAATAGCTTTTGTATTATCATCAATTAATTTAGCGAATTCTTCCGGGTCATCCCCTTGAACGAATTTAACATTGATTCCCAATCTTGGAAGTGTAACCTATATTATTATTTTAATACTTTAGTACTTTATCGTGATATAACTCTGGTCGAAATTATGATAATTTTGGTATTCCCCTCCCCTAGTTTGTGATATAAAAATTACCTTGAATTGAATATAAGTTCCACCATATAAATAACTTGATGAAATAATATTATCGCCTGCTACACAAAGGTTAATAACCGTAATAAATTGTGCAGCTTGTCCGGATGATGTAGACATTGCAGCAACACCACCTTCAAGCGCAGCCATTCTCCGTTCAAATACAACTAACAAAAAAAAAAAATTATAGTTTTTAACATATTTTGTAAAAAATTATATATACAGTAAAATATCCTTAATAGATCATCAACTCACATAATGTTGGATTATCAATCCTTTTAATAATAAAAAAAATATATTAGATAAAATAAATAGATAAATAAAAAAAATAAAAATAATTAAATAATTATCGTATTTATTTAAAATACTTTATTATTATTATTAATTTACCTTGAATAAATATGTGCTAATTCTTTACCAGCGAAAACGTTTGCGGCATGTTCAGAATTTTTAAATGTATAAGAAGTGGTCGCATAAATTGGTACAGCTCTTGCACGTGTAACAGCATCAGGTTCTTGACCTGCATGTAATTGAAGTGTTTCAAAATGAAGTTCTTTATTTTCAGTCATTTTTTTCTTTCTTTAATTTAATAAATTTAATAAATTTTTAATATTTATTAATTAATTGAATGAAATCAAGGTTAACAAATTTTTGAAGGGTATTTATAACGGATTTTTTTATTATTTTTTTTTTTTATTGAAATTTGTCGATGATCACATGAAAACAATTTTTTTTTTGTTGTATTTTGAAAAATATAAATTATAAAATGGTTTGTTATTTTTAGGTAAAAAAATAACTAATTCATATTAGATAATCAACCAAATCAATCATTTTATTGAGAGAATCATATCATTTACTAACATACACAAAATTTGTGTTAAATTCGAGTTTTTCCAATTTTAAACGTTTTAATATTACACACGGTCGCAGATCAATTGCCGATCATTCGTAAGCAAATTTACGAACAATGAGATTTCATATTTAACGAAACGGAGATATCCCGAATGATTATTAAATTTTCAATCTTGATTTTTGTGAATTACAAAAAAACAAATACAAACATTATTGTGCTTTATTACATTTATTCATTGATATATGATATATTTTTAATGTTTTCACATTATAATGGTCGAACAAGAACATTCTTTAATTCATTCCCGTTAAAAATACGTACGATAAAACTATTTTTAATATTAATGTTTCTAGATCACAACATATTTATGATTTCGGATTTGAAATTTATGATTATTAAAGAAAAAAAACAAATCATAGAACCACATAGAATATAGAACGTAACATTTTATAAAATTATTATTATTATTATTAGGATAAAATTGTTTGTTTCTCAATATTTTGATTATTTGTAATTTGTATCATTCTTTAAACTTATCTGATTTACCGTATGAAAAGAATTTTTAATTTTTAACAAAGAAAAAAAAAAAAAAATTTTTTTTATCGTATTGAAATGCAACGAATTTTTTTTATTTATGGAAAATTTGAAATTTTTTTTTTTTTAACTAGCTTCTATAAACTTATTTTTTTAAAAAAAAAAATCTTAGATAAAGATCTTTGTCCTTACCTTGAAAGAGTTTAGACTTTAGAACGGTAAATGAAAATTCAAAATATTTGTATAATATGACGAATAAATTTGCAACGTTTCGCAGGTATTAATATTAAAATGGATGAAGATCAAACCTTTTTTCGGTATCAGGACATTTCGCCGAAAGCCATTTCGCCAAAAAATAATCTCTGGCCTGAGTTATTTATAATTCTGCATAATGTTGGCCCTATTTTTCGGCGAAACGTCCTTTCGGCGAAACGGCTTTCGGCGAAATGTACCGTAACCTTGATAAGTTATATTCGTTATCTTGTATCAAATATGTTACTTTTACTAATCACTGTAGTCTATGAACTTTACCTTTTAAATTTGTAAACTTCTTTAAATTTCACGGTTTAGGATGGGTTAAATTAGTTTAATATATGTTTATATGTACTGTATATGTAATAGATTGTAATTTTTTCAATAAAAAAAAAAATTTTTCTTTTTCTTTTTTACGCATAATCGTTTCGTTAATAAATACGCGCTTATACAGTATGTTTTAAGATCATGATAATTTATTTCAATGATAAAAGTTATTAGGATTGCTAATTTAGTAGAATAATGCGTTGGAAAGAATTAGCCGAGTGGATTTGTTAAAAGTCAAGATTTGTTATTATACTTTTAAGGTCACTTTTGATTTATTTTTATTTTTATGTTTCAGACGAACCTACAAATTACAAGGACAACAAATAAATTGAGCCGAAAGTAATTCTATCACTAACGAACAAAACGCCACAAAAGGCAGTGACATCTGACCTTGAAGAAGAGAGAAACGGGACGGGTCCACGACCGTACCCAGAGCTCACCAACCGGAAAGAAATAAAAAAGAGAACCAAACATAAAAATACTGTCTAGTATCTAACAAATTATTATATATATAAAAAGAAAATAAATCTATATCATTAAACCAAAAATTATCTCGATGGGTTGTCCAAGCTCCCGAATGTAAAAAATTGCTTGAAGTCCATCTAACATGTGCTTTAGCGTTGAAAAACCTCCACGTCGAGAATATGGAGTAGTTGTGACATTTCTATGAGTATAGGCTCGTCGAGCATTAGATTGGTGATCCTCAGCCACCGGCGGAATCAATTCAGTAGTTTTTCGGTAACGTCGAGAGTAAAATTTCTTTTTCGTTTTCGTAATGGCACGGGATTTTCCCCATTCTTTAACGTGTTTGTTGCGCCGATTCCAAATTAAGGAGTCAATTTTCTCCATAATAATATTCATAAAGTCAGTAAAAATTTTAAAACGTGATTTCTTTTTCGGAATATAATTGTAAGTTGTATTAGAAGGTAAAAAGGGTGTTCGGAGGATAATCCTCCGACAAAAGTGTCGTCAAAAAGTTTGGAAGCGTCGATACTAGCCTCCAGTCCAAAATCTTTGTCTTTAATTTCATCTTTAATAAGATTATAAAGGATAGTTTTGTGTGATGTTATAATGTTAAGAATATTGTCCGTATGTAGTGTTCCGAAAGGGTCAGGTCAACCCCGGGTTATTTGACCCGACCCGTGTTTAAAATCCGAATCGAGTTTATCATTATTTGACACGAGTCTTATATTCAACCCGACCCGTCGGGTCAGGGTCACACCTTTGCTTGACCCGGGTTGACCCAGGTTTAATCAAATATTTATATTTAAAATATTTACAAATGTTTATGTTACATGATTTTTAATTTCTAACTTTGTTTGTGTATAAAATGAGTGAGGGTGAGAAATTAACTCTTGGAAAGCGAACTTATTTTAAGAAGTCTATAACCCTTGAGCAGATCGAAATCAAGATGTTCTACTATGATGGAAGGTATATATTTAATAATAACTAGTATATTTTAGATTTTATTAAATCGTTATGAAAATATACTAGTAAAATATAGTAAAGTATTCACAGTTTTACACCTAGCAGCAATGGTAAGAGATTATCTTGTAATTGAATAATATTAAAATTGGTTAAATTTTTTTTTTTACCTGTAATTAAAAGTGTTACAGTTGAAGATTTTTTCTGGAGGAACCGGCCAAAAGAAGCAAAACCAAATACAAATTGCGCGTGTATATGTTTGAAATCAGGCTGGGCGTAAGGAGGATTTAAAAAATTATATATTTTAAACATATGAAAATTTTATTTGGATCTGGGTTATCCGGGAGTTAAACTATATCGGGTCGGGTCAGAGGTCAGGTCATGTAAATATTAACCCGGGTATTTGTACGGGTTGGTTTTTATACTCGAGTCAAGTTCAAATACATCCTCAAACCCGACCCGACTCGACCCTTTCGGAACACTATCCGTATGAGAAGGGCACAAGCCTACATGTTCATTATTATATATGGCAATATTACATTCCACACACGGAACATGGTCTAAAGGGTATAAGCGTGGATAATTTCTTTGCTGAATATCAATTGTTGGATAAATAAAATTGTATTTTTTGAGTTTCGCTCCTTGTTTTTTAGATAGTTTGTCGCTGCATGGCACGTGATTGAGTCATTCTTTAGTGAACGTCCAATCGATGTCACAATTATGGAGTTGTGTTTTGATAGATGTGAAAGAAGAGTTGTTAATCATAGAGTTAAAAATTAAAGGTTGAATCACATTTTGAGAATCTCGGTCGATCACGTGCATATTGTTCCACGAAACTAAACCGAGACTTTGTTGATGAAAAATTTGTGGTTGACCACGATGGGATGTACTACGACATGTGAACCGATTCGCCAGTTCATCTGCTTTTTGTTCCATTCATTGTCACTATGTCCTTTGACTTTGTGTAGAGTAATTAGTAAATGTTTGTGATGAATTAGGTAAAAAATAAGATCCCAAATTAAAAAATTAGTTTTGTTTCAATTTTCGTCGAGGGCTGATAATAGGTGAATGTAAGAGCGTATTAAAAGTTGTGGAAGGAAAAAAGACAGTTGATCCTTTGAAAGAAACTTGTGGTGTGTTTGGTTGACATTGAATCCAACCATAACCGTTCAGGCAACGCGTGTTTCCTATAAATTTAACAGAACCATCTGTGTAGAATGTTGGTAAAGTTTCTTTTTGAAGTTCGGACGCTAAAAATTTTAATTCTTTTTTAATATTAACATGGCATAATAAAGCCATATCAATGTGTTCATATATGGATAATAAAAAGGAATCTTCATTTGAAGATAATGATGAATTATTTTCAGTAGGAGTAATAATTTTAGCGGACTATTATCTAATTTTAAAAAATATTCAAAAGCTATGTGTGTATGTAAAGGTTTAGTAACTACGTAAAAAGGGGGTCTGGTACGAAATCCCGAACTCTAATTCTGGTCAAACACATCACGTGATCCCACATAATTCTGCATAATGCGGGCCATTTGTCGGGATTTCGTACCATTCAGGATTTTGGACCGTCGGGATTTTGTACGGATCCCGTATCATGATGTGTTTGATTAGGAATATAGTGTTCGAGGTAAGTAATTGAGGAATATGTGGTGGATTCTTGTGCGTGATAATGTTTTACCGTGTTTTACCAAATATAATTTGCTTTTGTTGATTGTTCCAGTGGATAGACCATTGGAATTTAGGTGTCGTAATTGAGGGAAGAATTTCAGGAGATTTGTGGGTACGATTAATTTCACTAATCACGTCTTTTAGAGGATGTGTGAGGCGTAAGTTGTTGCTAAGTACATAATTGTCTTTTAGATTTTGATACCAATTTGGTATTTTGCCTTTGTAGTTGTTATTATTGTTACGTTTTACATCGTCCCAGGAGAGTAAATAGCATCCATCCAGGGATTTAAGGTCACTTTTGATTAACTGTAAATATTATTATTATTATTAAGAGCCGATCCGCCTACGAACGACAGAAAATTACTATATAAATTCGGGGTGAGGTTATTATAAAAATGCCAAAATTGGCTAAATTTTATGGGCTATAAAAACCGCAGATCATCATGCTGTGGCACCAAAATTCACATGATGATTCCTTAAATGTCAAAGATGAAAAAAATA